AGTGGTCGAAAGAGAAAATGGAGGGAGAAGAGAAGACGCGAAGGCAAGTCAAATGTTAGCGAGCGTACGGCGATGGAACGTCTTTAAGACCAAGGAGGAACTTATATAAGAAAGCAAGATGGCAACCGGTTGTCCCTGAGCCACGACCGGCGTTTATTTGCACATTTTTATCTATTTTTGAGCGGACCAAAAAACTTCGCGCAACCAGTTCGCCCCGATGGCGCACATGGGTCGTGCCTCGCCAGATTTTTCTTTCCCATGGACGAATGCGTTTTTATTGTCACCGAAGGTGTCACACCGTACTCCGTAACATTCTTTGGTTACATTGTTTTTTGTACGATATTACCTTCTTTTCATACTTCATTCGTTGTTTATATAACTTCATCCCTAAAATGGACAGTTAAATCAATGGACATCTAAATGAACATGTTATGTTTAAATTATGTGGACATCGTTTCTATAACTCCATCCCTAAAACATTTAAATTAATGGACATCGAAATGAACATATTATGTTTAAATTATGTGGACATCGTTTCTATAACTTCATCCTTAAAACATTTAAATTAATGGACATCGAAATAAACACATTATGTTTAAATTATGTGGACATCGTTTCTATAACTTCATCCCTAAAACATTTAAATTAATGGACATCGAAATAAACACATTATGTTTAAATTATGTGGACATCGTTTCTATAACTCCATCCCTAAAACATTTAAATTAATGGACATCGAAATAAACACATTATGTTTAAATTATGTGGACATCGTTTCTATAACTTCATCCCTAAAACATTTAAATTAATGGACATCGAAATGAACACATTATGTTTAAATTATATGGACATCGTTTCTATAACTTCATCCCTAAAACATTTAAATTAATGGACATCGAAATGAACATATTATGTTTAAATTATGTGGACATCGTTTCTATAACTTCATCCCTAAAACATTTAAATTAATGGACATCGAAATGAACACATTATGTTTAAATTATGTGGACATCGTTTCTATAACTTCATCCTTAAAATATTTTAATTAAATATAAATGAACATGTTACATTTAAATCATGTGGACATTATATTTAAATCTAAGTGAAAATAAATAAATAATTATACTTTGTTTCGATAATAGGTGAACTAGTTTATAGAATAATTTTAGCAAGTAGCTTGATGAAGGTTGAATGAATGAACCATGAAGGTTGATATTTAACGAAAGCTTCATGAGTGAAGAGAAATCGAAAGTCCGCCATTTTGGAGGCTTTCGTAAAACTGTCTGAATTGTATAATAATTGTGTATTATCAAAGATGTTTAGGGTTATGTTACAGATAATATCAAGAGATTAAATACTTATGGATGGAATTGTTTTCTTGGGCATTTATCTAAATGTCATTAACCTATACTAAAATTTAGAGAATCTGGTAAATTGAGAATAAGAATTTTTCCAATTTAGAAACCTAGAAATTTAAAAGCTAAAAAGCATAAAAATTTATAAACTTGAAAATAAAAAAAGTGTAATAATTAACCTTCTAAAATTTTACCAATTTCCATATAAAATCATCCCTCCATCTCCGCCATTTTAATTAATAATGAACATCATCCCAACTATCACAGTAGCCGCCATTTTCCTCGGAAACAAGGTTATGTCGATTACATACTTCGTATTAATACAAAAACGTTAGAAGTAACCAGTCATAAAATGATCGTATAAATCGAAATATGGCAACGAAGAGAAACGATCAGAGTCGACGCAGAAAAATCGTAAGATACCTGTCATTGGAAACTTAATATGCCTAGGTGTCACGTAATCACGAAAACCATAAACTTCAAGAGCAACAAGTGTTCAGGCGAGCCGATTAAATGAGTCAACTTATCGTCCATTAAAATCTCTATCAAATGGTGAACGAGTGTGATGAAAATACATTCAGTTAATAGCATAGCGATATGGGTTTGGCTACAATTGCTACGATCACGATGTTGTATTCGATGATGTTGCATTTCTTTAACAATAGATGATAATTTTCTTCAGATTGTCATTAGTGACAAAATATATCTCTGTGACATATTAAATATTAATGCAAAGAATAAGTATGTGACATATATTTGAATATAAATGTGAAGTATAAATATGTTACATATATTTGAATATATATGTGAAATATAAGTATGTGACATGTATTCAAAAATATAAATATGAAGTATATGTGGCATATATTTAAATATAAATATGAAATATAAGTATGTGACGTATATTTAAAAATAAATGTGAAATATAAGTATGTGACATGTATTCAAAAATATAAATATGAAGTATACGTGGCATATATTTAAATATAAATATGTAACATATTAAAAATAAAAATGAAATACAAGTACATGAAAATAAAATCTGACCACCAAATTTCGCCTAACCTAATTTTCCATCTTCACCAGCCGAAAGAAACTATCGGTCCATTAAACAACTAGCAGATGTCCATATCATTTGCATGGGCATCTGTGGAAGTATCGAATGTCTCGATGTAATTTTCATTCAAACACAAATCACTCGTTGCTCGCATGACGCGTTATTGAAACAAGCAATTCCCTCTGTCTCCTCCCCGTTCCTTTTTACCATTTATACACCGAGAACCGTACGCCCAATCATTTGCTTCTGCTGTTTGCTCACATGTCACTGTATCGTCGAAAGATGTGTTTGTCTGGCTCTGCAACGAGCCACTACACGCGTCTCTACCTAATAAAAAGAGAGCAGCTGAAACGACTCGATTGCCGACCTAATAAGCACACGGCCTCTCCTTCTTTTCGTTAATTACCTTCTTAAAAACTGCCCGGCCTTTTCATTAACTTATTTTCGTCGATCGTACACAAATTGCTTATTGATCTTTACGGTGACTGGCTTGTTTTCTTCATGTGGTCTTGTTATATTGGGGTAAGACTGTTGATCTCTTGCTGTATGATTAGTTTGTTGGGTATGTCAGTTTGAAGTAACTATTAAGAATGGTATTAAAATCGTTAAATAAAGTCAAAATGTGATGATTTTGTGGTTAATGGTATTATATAAATTATTGGATGGACAAATATAAATTATAGTTGGAGTTGAACTTGAAATTGAAGTGTAAATGTTCAAGATTTGTTGCAGTGGAACTGGAAGCGCGTCATGAGTCTAGCTCCTAAATTCCCAAGTCTCCAAATCCCTAAATCCTTAAATCTCCAACTTTCTAAATCCCCAAATCCCCCAAATTTCCACTCTCCCAAATTTCAAATTTTTCAAATTCCAAATTCCCCAAATTTCCACTCCCCCAAATTCCAAATCACTCAAATTTCCACTCCCCCAAATTCCAAATCCCCCAAATTTCAAATCCCCCAAATTCCCACTCCCCCAAATTCCACATAATAACCAAAAATCCCATAATTTCCAAATTACTGAACTTAAGATTATCCTTGATTCTACAATAAGGTCACTCTCCCAAATTCCAAATCCCCCCAATTCCAAATCACCCAAATTTCCACTCCCCCAAATTTCCACTCTCCCAAATTCCAAATTCCCCAAATTTCCACTCTCCCAAATTTCAAATTCCCCCAATTCCAAATCACCCAAATTTCCACTCCTCCAAATTCCAAATCCCCCAAATTTTCACTCCCCCAAATTCCAAATCCCCCAAATTCCAAATCCCCCCAATTCCAAATCACCCAAATTTCCACTCCCCCAAATTTCCACTCTCCCAAAATCCAAATCCCCCAAATTTCCACTCTCCCAAATTTCAAATCCCCCCAATTTCAAATCACCCAAATTTCCACTCCCCCAAATTCCAAATCCCCCAAATTTCAAATCCCCCAAATTCCCACTCCCCCAAATTCCACATAATAACCAAAAATCCCATAATTTCCAAATTACTGAACTTAAGATTATCCTTGATTCTACAATAAGGAATAACCCTAATGACAAAAATAATTCTAACCATGGGAAAGTAATTGAAATTTTGTTCCCTAACTGAAATGGTGGCCTCCACAGTATAGTAAACGATTCTCAATATTTCCCAAATTCCCCAAGTCCCCTAAATCCCCCAAATCCCCCAAATTCCTCACATCTCCCACATCCCCCAAATTCTCCAAATCCCTAAAACTAAATCCTTCCCTCCAACTCCTCAAAAATCCTTAAAACTTCTCTCTCTCTCTCTCTCTCTCTCTCTCTCTCTCTCTCTCCCCTCCATATTTTCCCCAGTAAAAGCATCTTTGTCGACGACTGTACCTTATAAGCACATCAAAGTTGCGAGCACTTGTCTCGATGTCCCGACCGGTTCATAAATTCGTCCTCATACGTAATTCTTTCCCTCCCGTCTCTCCTTTCCTCCGGAACCATTGAAACTTTGCAACATCATTGCGTTTAATATGAAACCGCGAGCACGTAAATCTCACGAATCGGGACTAGCTCTCCGCGAACGTGATACGCGTATATGTATTCTTCAACGTATCGTTCGTTCCTCGGCCATCTTGCTACCTGACCAAACCGTTGAAAGCTCGTAATAAGCTCGTAACGGGTTTCAACTTTTATATCCGACGCGTGATCGATGTTCATTGTCGGTAAAGTGTACGGGAATACTTTATTCGAAATTATGACGCAAGTCGTAAAAAAATCATTTTAATGGACATAATAGTTGACCGTCAGTTCTGAGGATGTTAGGGATTATTTTATGACGGTGCCACGCTGCGATCTTTGCTTCTTGAGGAATTTTAAGTCTAGCATCGGATACATTTGGGGTACAGTTGGGGATACATTTCAGATTTCACTTGGGGTACTGGTAATTTGACACTTTTGTGGTTACGAGATTTCGAGAGGGATCTGGAGATACTTGAAGTTTAATACTGCAATTGTACACAAAATATATTACCATTAATACGCGTACACGTGTACATCACACTATGTAACCTAATTGATGTAACGACTATAATATTTAGATCTATAGGCATCAAGTGATCATTACACTGACACTCGTTGTTAAATAATTTCTTTTTATAGAGAAACTTTTTCTCTCAGCTACAGTTCGATGTCCTCCATTTTGGTCTACAGTGTCCACCATTTTGTTCTCCAGTGCCCTACAATGGCTGAATGTCTCTCTAACCTCAAAATATAATAATTTTCTTCGCAACCAATGCACTCTTAACACAGAATATTTGAATAAAGAGAAAAGTTTGAAATACTGCAGTTCTACAAAAAATATATTACTAATAATACACACACGTGTACATCACACTATGTAATCTAATTGAATGTTTAGATCTATGGACATCAAGTGGTACACACACTCATTGTTAAGTAATTTCTTTTTATAAAGAAACTTTTTCCTCCCAGTTTGATGTCCTCCATTTTGGTCTACAGTGTCCACCATTTTGTTCTCCAGTGCCCTACAATGCCTGAACGTCTCTCTAACCTCAAAATATAATAATTCTCTTCGCAACCAATGCACTCTTGACACGGAATATTTGAATAAATAAATGTTTGTATAAATAGAAAAGTAGGATACTATTGCGAGAAGTTTGCATTTCGTTACATCTCGCAACACGATTACCGCGAATGAAATGCACATGTATTGAATCGATAACGTTTCAATACTCAACCAATTTGTTCGAAAAAGACCGATCATTGATTTGCTAATCAATGCGTTGCATCAGTACGATTTATTATGTTAAATTGGAGAGTTAACAGGATTTTCCGGCATGATTACGCAAAACGAATTGCGTATCGCAGCATTGCGAATGACGATGCGTATCGACGGAAATTGCAAGCTCGATAGCGAGCTATTTCGCTGGAATTATAATTTTATGTGTTTGCTAGTGAAAGCATTTAACAATTCAACGGAGAAACGATTGCTGATAATAGGGGAATTTGTGTTATTTTCAATATTGCGATCTGGAAGTGATTTTATCGGTGGAAAAAGTTCAAGGTATATTATTTCCGCTGCATATTTAATAACTGTTTATTAATAAGTACACAGGTGTTGAGTACAAGAGTCAATTCAACATACTAACCTTACTTTCGAGTTATGACTGCTGTTTGTATTTAATGTTCATTATTGAACTGAGTTATTATATTATAAAATTCTATTAATCTTGTGAAACAAAAATTACGTACAATTTTTCAGTAAAGTATGTTATTTTGTTACAGTGGTTCTAGATTCTGCTGCAGTGGGTAATTGACGCATCTAATTGTACAGCAAAGGTCATGACTGTAAAGGGTTACCATGAGGTTAACCCTTCGCGCTCGAGAGGAGACTCTCAGTCACCATTTTATTTAATACAATAATTTAAAGTAAGCATTTTTTAAACGATTCTATAATATGACACGTGAGATGTATAAACACAGTGAAACAAATAGTGGAAATTATTGGTAGAGAAATGATAACCTCAAAAGAATTTAGCTTTGTAAATAAGTTTTAACCCTTTGCACTCGAAGGCAATTTTACTATTTGCAAACAACAACTTTAAAATATTAATTAAAATTTTAAATGACTTCTTTTGAAGTTATTATTTCTCTACTAATAATTTCCACTATTGTCTATTTCACTATGTTATCACGTAAGCACTATTATAGAATTAATTAAATAATGCTTCTTTTAAATCGAATGGCGCCTAAGAGGCGCCTCTCGAGCGCAAAGGGTTAAAGTTGCCGTTTGCAAACAGTCAAATTACCTTCAAGTGCAAAGAGTTAATTAACCCTTTGCACTCCTATGTCGAGTGTAGCTCGATATAACATTTCTCTTGGATCTTATGAATGATTCAGATAAATAGATTGGTTGAATTGTATATTTTCATTTAATTACTATTTATAATAACTGAAAAATGTAGTTGTCACATACTCCACACTGTTACGATACATTTTACAGAGAACCCCTTTTTTGATGTGTTTTGTAAATACAGGAGATGTTAGGTAACAGAAATTAAGGAGTGCAAAGGGTTAATATGTGTTTCGAAAAAATTGTGCTAGTAGATTAGTTGGAATGACAGCTATTGTTTAATATTTGCTTCTTTTTGTTGATCTTGAGTAGCGGACAAAAGAGCGGAGATAGTTTCTGCGAAACCCGGGCTCCTTTTTCCTCGGCACCTCGGTAACCGAGTAACCAAGTAACCAAGCGACCAAGTAACACCACCACGCACCGCGAGCAGGAATCGCGAGATGTTACACGAGGGGAGGAACGTCAGATAAGTGGCATAGTGGCGATCTCCCGGGAAAGAAAGAGGAGTCGGCTCGTGGAACGAGGAGAGGCAAAACAGGCGGAGGAGGCAGAAGCAGCGTCTAAAGAAGAAGAAGAAGAAGAAGAAACGGAGTGGAAGAGGTTAACGGCCTCTGGCACAGTGGTGATAAAGAGCCAAAGCAGCGGAGGCGAAACCGCAGAGAATTCGAACCGACTCTGTAGGAACACGAGATGAGTGGAACCTTGGAAAGAGGAAGAGGACGCGTGTGTGGAACACACGCCGAACACGCACACGCCGATGGATATTTTCTGATTCGTTCGGAAACAAACGATCACGCTTTTCTGCCAACGTTTTATGCTCGCAGAATTTTAGCTCGATGGGAATTTAGATATGGTGGAGAGGTATCGATAAATATTGGTAATGCTGGAATGTTATCGGGTATTCGATGTATTGATGGTATCGTTTAGATAGCGTAAGCAGGGTTAGGAGATAGAGTTGAAATATGAAGTTTGTGCACTTTTCATTCTTTACATTTGTTATTTATATTAGTTACATTTTCAATATTATGAAAGTTTTTGGTACAATTTTTTGTAAACTTCGTTTTATATCTTTATGTGGTTGTACTTAAATCTGGCAGTACATACATGATTCTCAAGTTTGAATTTCCGGAATTGTCAGATTTTTAACGTGTATTACACTCAAGGTTGCGAACATCGATATCCAATTTTCAATTGTAAAAAATAAATTCCTTTTTTGAGGCAATAGCAAAAGAATCATATAGACCTAACCTCTAACTTCAAACGAATTTCACTAATCAAATGATGTGTCTACCAAAAGATGTACTTATTAAAAGATCTATCTGGGATTAAAATATAATAAACTGTCTTTAAAAATTCCTTTAATTTCAGTTAGTCAGCTCCTGAGGATTAAAGGAAAGAAAAGAAGTCATGCTTGTTAAGAGACGTCTATAAAGAGACATGACTAAAATATAATGGACACTCTGCAAATTCGTATAATTTCACCTAGTCAACTCCTAAAATCTGAAGAAAAGATGTGCTCAAAAAATGAGCCTATAAAGAGATATGACTAAAATATAATTGACACTCTGAAAATTCGTGTAATTTCACCTAGTAAACTCCTAAAATCTGAAGAAAAGATGTGCTCAAGAAATGAGCCTATAAAGAGACATGACTAAAATGTAATGAACACTCTGCAAATTCGTATAATTTCACCTAGTCAACTCCTAAAATCTGAAGAAAAGATGTGCTCAAGAAATGAGCCTATAAAGGTACATGACTAAAATATAATGAACTCTCTGAAAATTTGTGTAATTTCACCAAGTCAGCTCCTAGAATCCAAAGAAAAGATGTGCTCAAGAAATGAGCCTATAAAGAGACATGACTAAAATGTAATGAACACTCTGCAAATTCGTATAATTTCACCTAGTCAACTCCTAAAATCTGAAGAAAAGATGTGCTCAAGAAATGAGCCTATAAAGAGACATGACTAAAATGTAATGAACACTCTGCAAATTCGTATAATTTCACCTAGTCAACTCCTAAAATCTGAAGAAAAGATGTGCTCAAGAAATGAGCCTATAAAGAGACATGACTAAAATGTAATGAACACTCTGCAAATTCGTATAATTTCACCTAGTCAACTCCTAAAATCTGAAGAAAAGATGTGCTCAAGAAATGAGCCTATAAAGAGACATGACTAAAATGTAATGAACACTCTGCAAATTCGTATAATTTCACCTAGTCAACTCCTATATAAAGGTACATGACTAA